ATCTCCTCCGTAGCTAATAGCAATTCCCACCTTAGAGTTTACAAAGACTTATGGGTAGAAAAGCCACACTAAGTAATTTACTACACCGCACTGCCCATCTTACAGTTTTAATGCTGAATATTATAACAATAACCATGTCTGCTATGACCAAGAATTGAGTCTTATGGCTTAGAAATGGACTAAAGTACAATACTTTAATCATGTATTTCCTACAAATCTCAGGAAAGCAATAATTAATTTTCTATGTTAAAATACAAGATACAATGGTTGAATTCATAACAGTGATTGATAAATCTTAACTGTCAGTTATAAATCCATAAGGTTAAGAAGAATTTAAAACTATAGCCCTGAGAACTTTTACCTCTTCCCCTATAATTGTTAGTTTGGGGAATTTCCGTGCCAGTGAAGAGCATATGCTCATTTGTGCCAATCGGTCAGCTTTGGTCTGTAGGTCTGTGGCGCACGTCTGCAACAAAGAATGCAAATGTTAGCAGAACTAGTGTAAAATAAAGAGCCCTGCTGGTGCAATGGTTAAGCATATGGCTGTTAACCAAAAAGTTCAAACCCAGGAGCTGCTCCTCAAGGGAAAAGACCTGGAGATCTTCTCCCATAAAGATTAGAGCCTACGAACGCCTATGGAACAGTTCTACTCTGTCTTGTTGGGTTGCTCTATCCTGTGCCTGGACAGCACACAAAAACAATGCAACAATATAGAACACGCTAGTATCAATCTGATTCTAAGCATGAGTGTCTGTATCATTTAAATTACACTGCCAGTTTTTAGACTCATGGAATTTAACACCAAATGAGTCAATTAGTTTCTTAGCTTTGTTTTTCTCATGGAATTAATAGTATACTTGAAGTTTGGAAAGGTGTTTTTAAATTACTTAGAACATTTTCTCTGCAAGTTCAGAAATTCCTTTCTTAAGATTTCTAAATATTACCTTTTTGCTAAACAGGTTAAGTGATAGTAAATTCATAATTTTTTCAAGGTAGCCAAAGTTAAATACTGTATCTTTAGTTATCCAAAGTATACTATTTAGATGGATTCTTCTATAATTTCCATAATGTCTACTAATTAATCTTAGTCCTAATAATTCAAGGGGTACTCAGGACAATTCACTAGCATATAGAAAAAAAATTCTATTATTTAAATCTAAAAAACATGACATTACCTGCAGTAAACTCAATATATAATACATTTATGTGGTGTCCTCACTCAATCTACATGTCGTATGTTGTTGTTGTTGTTAGGTGCCGTTGAGTCAGCTCTGACTCATAGCGACCCTATGTACAACAGAACAAAACACTACCTGGTCTTGTGCCATCCTCACAATCCTTGCTATGCTGGGACCATCGTCGCAGCCACGATGTCAACCCATCTCATTGAGGGCCTTCCCCTTTTTCACTGATCCTCTACTTTACCAAGCATGATATCCTTCTCCAGGGAATGGTCCCTTCTGACAACACAAGCAAAGTAGGTGAGACGAAGTCTGGCCATTCTCACTTCCAAGGAGCATTCAGCTGCATTTCTTCTAGGACAGTTTTATTTGTTCTTCTGGCAGTTCATGGTATTTTCAGTATCCTTCACCAACAACATAATTAAAAGTCATCAACTCTTCTTCAGTCTTCATTATTCATTGTCCAGCTTCCACATGCATATGTCAGATAAAAGAAAAAAAAAAAAAAAACCACTGCCATCGAGTTGATTCCGACTCACAGTAACCCCCATTGGGTTTCCGAGGCAGTAAATCTTTATGGAAGTAGACTGCCCAGTCTTGCTTCTGTGGAGTGGCTGGTAGGTTTGAACCACCAACCTCCTGGTTAGCAGTCAGATGCCTTAGGCACTGTGATACCAGAGCTCCTTATATGTCAGATAGTCATGCTAAGTATTTTCTTCCTTAGGAAATATTCCTGCTCTTTCTACCAATATGGTGCCAGACTTCATCATTCTGGATTCTTTGTGTGACAAAACTTTGTGTGAGTCAAGCTTCTTTCCCTCTTAAAATAAGATATGAACAGGTGGATAAAAAGTACTAGAAATGCCTGACCAGTACAGAGGACAGTGAGAATATTCCTTTTTTTCTACTTGAACATTTTTTCAGTTATAGGATATACATTTCTATATCTGACATAATCACAATGTAAAAATCTATCCCAACAAAATAAGTTATGCTAAGAAAAAAAAATCGGGAAGTGATCCAAAATATTGGCAGTGGTAGCATGATGGATGATTTTTGTTTATTGCTATTTTTCTCCATTTCCTATTTTTCATAATAGAAAACCTTTTATAATAGAAAAGAAAATTCAGTAAGATAAGTATCCTTCTGAAAGCAGTTACGTTACACTGTAGGTTTATTACTGAGCATGTAGGAAGTCTTCAGTCATTTCCAAAGCAGAAATGGAGCCCATTTGAAGTAAGAGTCTTGCAGTCTCTTTAGAGAGCCATCAGACACCTTTACCTGTTAGTCCATTACATTCTATAACTAAACTTTAATGAACATAAATAAAGCTGGTATGAAATGAGATGAGACTTTCAGTACCTTCTCCACAATGCCTAGGTCTCCTTCAGCAATAACACGTCTGACTATCATTCCTGCCTTTTGAGCAATAGAATATGATGAAGCTACCAACCGCATCAACACAGTGTGACTGGAAGCCATGATAAGCCCTAAAAGGAAGTTGAGAGACGTTTCTGTTACTTTCAAAGCCAACTACTGGTTTTATTGCTTGAATTCAATTCAACACATAGTGATTTAGTGCTTCCTTGGGACTGTCCCAATTAACTGAGTAGGTTCTTTAATAAATATTTACCAAAGAAAGCTTGGGAAAAAACTTCAATTTTCATCATTAGCTCTCTCAATAAATCCTTTCTCTTTGCAGATGGAACATTTTAAGGTATGGGCATAACCTGTGCAGGCTGCTGAGTATGTTGAAAAAGTTTCTTTGCGTGTGATGTGTGATCTGCAAAGGCTATCAAAGGTGCTTCAGGGGCTAAAAAGTATAAAATGTAACATCTTCCTTGGAGGAGCTAATATTTCTGTGAATAGGGACTAAAATAATGTAACCTAATGTTTATAGAGAAGCCTGGAGGTTCAAACCCACCAGCCACTCCTTGGAAGGAAGGTTGAGCAATCTACTTCTCTAGTGATACCGCCTCAGAAACCCAAGGAGGCTATAAGTTGGGGCCGACTCGACAGCACATAACAATGGCATAAACTGGTAAGGGCCAAGAGAGATAGAAATAGCATGAGGTGTGTTTGTGTGTGTGTGTGTGTGTGTGTAAGGGGAGGGTAACTAAAAAGGGGAGGGATTGCATATGGTTATAACTATTTTCTTAAAATCAAGTGAATAGTCCTTTAGAGATAGAAAAAATGTAATCAGCTGGTTATCCACCCACCCCATCCTCCACCCAAATAAAGAGAGAAAAAACAAAACAGTAACTGGAGTGAAGACCAATTATCTGTAAGAGTAATGAGTGTCAGAGAATTCACTGGCCCCAATGAAATAAATGAAACAGTCTTTAGGATTACATATATGTCCTTTGAAAGTACAAATTCAAATCCTGCAATTTTAGTGATGGTTCTGGATGCTAGAATATACTACCCAGATTCCCCTTCCGGACTGAGGATTTGTTTCCCCAACTGCTGGGAGTGCTTCCAACAGAGAGCCCTTAGCTGTCACCCTTTTTTGGGAACTTAACTGCTGAAGAGTCACCTTCCCTGAAACTGGTCAATCTACCCCCAAACCCATTACTGTTGATTTCAACTCATAGCGACCCTACAGGAAACCATAGGGTTTCCAAAACTGTAATCTTAAAGGAAGCAGATTACCACATCTTTCTCCTGCAGAGTGGCCGATCTTTCAGATGGCATCCAAGCGCTTAACCACTATACCATAGGGTTCCTTGAAACTAAGTCAACAGTGGGAGTTTAAAGGACTCTTCACCAAACTGGGCTGCCGCTCCAATTCTGAAGGGCCATCCTCGCTACTAAGCATTCAGTTTGGTCAACTAAGACTCTAGTTATGTCTGCACCCCAAAGCAACTACTCTCTCTGCCCATTCCTATTTCTTTCCTTTCATTTCACAGTGGTGATCCTGAGAACATTCCCTAATAAACCTCTTGCTATGACAAAAATTTCCCCACCTCTAAATCAACATTTTCTCAATACAATAAAGGAACACAGTCAGTTATAAGAAAGGCATTATACACCTTGATTCAGCAATAATCATCATTCCAACATCAGTTGCAGATTGAATATTTGATATGTTGTGCCTCTTTACATCCTTTTTCTATCATCCACATTTTATTCAGAGTTACCTCCTCAGAAACTGGTCAGTCCACCCCCAAACCCATTGCTGTCAAGTTGGTTCTGACTCATAGAAACCCTATATGAAACCACTGGGTTTCCAAGGCTGTAATCTTCATGGAAGCAGACTGAACATAATTGAGATACAAACAGGTAAAGTGTTTGAAACCCTTCAGAACGAAGATAGAACTGAAATTGATGAAAAGTAATGAATACCACAGTGGAATTAAGGTGAAAATAAAATGAGTTTCTATTTATTTGAATTTTGTTTCTCTTATTACACTTATGATTAGCCTAAGTTCATTTTCTTAGCAAACCAGATGTTACATGTGGAATAACTAGTTATGATTATTACTAATTCAGCAGCATATCAATTAGAAATCAGGAGAAATAATTTAGCAAATACCTTGGTGGCCTTACATCCATATATCTAGTCTCATATCTGATTTCTTTTGCATTGGAAAAGTCATCTTTAGGCAACTAATTTGTACTACTCAGATAACGTAAACACTGAGAATATTGCAATATGTGTTGGTATGTACATTCAGTCCCCATATTATACAAGACTCCATTTGTGAAAGGGAGATCATTTTCCTTCACTGTTTGGTGGTGGTATAACTTTTCACAGATCTCATTTACCTTTGAGCCTGTTAAACAATCATCTGAGCCTTGTCAGGCTTCAAGTATGACTAAATACTTCCTCATGTTTTCCAAGTCCATGGCTGTTTTTTTTACAAAGAAAAACTTTATTTTTTTTTCTCCTATCTTTGCCACAAAATGTATGAACCACCACTTAAAGCTAATACTGGTTTCATAGAAAATAAGAATGGAAGAAAATAAAATTTGATATAAAGCACAATAGTGATTTATAAAGAGTCCACAAATCATCTTCAGTTGGCAAATTAAAAAAAGTTACATTTTTTCTAAAGTACTTCTCTTGTCTAAATGGAATCAGTGATAAAATATTACTATCCCCTAACTCAAATATTTTTCTTTCATATATTTTTAAAAAATGAATGTATTTTTAGTTCTTGGTTAAAGAAAAAGTAGCCAATCATATTATTAAAATATGAAAATCTGCTACAGAGGTTCCTATTAGTCTGCTTTTTAATTGTTCCCCCTCCTGGACCCCAAATGAAAATTACCTTTTGTTGTAGTAGATACAGAGCAAGGCCCAAACTGGCAATAGGCAAGGTGATCACTTCCTTACAGCAGTTCAAATTATACCCATTGTGCTTCCTTCTCTACCAGGTTTAGACCTTCTGGGTCCTAAAACACTACTTTTTGTGAACATGTCTTCCTGAAAGCTTATTCAAAAATAGCACAGTTGTTATAAACATGGGCACTGGAGCCAACTGGCTATGTTCAAATCCTGGCTCTGACACACATCAGCTATTTAATTTTGGGGAAGTCACTTAAACTCTCAGGCCTCTGTCTATAAAAGGGAGATTATAGTACCTACAACAACAGTCCCTATTGTGATTATTAAATGAGCTTCCACCTATGAATCACTTATAACAATCCCTGGCACAAAGTAAGCACTAAATGATACTGGTTAATCATTATTATGATGATGACTGTTCTTATTACTGGCTATTCTACAGGGTCACTGGTGCAGCATTACGGGCAAAAAATTCCTATAGCTTCTGCAAGAGTATTTTGATCCTGGTGATGTGCTATGATAACTATTATGACCCTTAATCCCATTACAGATTCTTTTTCATAACATTCTGGGCTTGAGTACAGTAGATACGAAAAAAGGTGTAGAACATTTACAGCAATCAATCTAACATCTTATTCATTTCAGTAATGTTTACAACTGCCAATGGGAACCAAATTACAGTTTCTTTTCATAGACTAGGAAATTCATCTTGAATTAAATAAAAAGATGGTGAGCATATAAGGATGAGTATATAAAAATGAATGGTGAGTTCACAATCAAAACATTAAGATCATTTATCTTTGGTAACTGATTAAATGTTACTAAAGGTGAAGATTATCTAGAAAAGTAAAAATGTGAGCATGACAGAAAATTCTAGAAAAAGAACAATAAACAGCTATTCCTCTTAACAACTATCAAAATATCACATAAAACTATAGTAATTACCACCAGCCACTCCTCGGAAGGAAGATGGGGCAATCTACTTCCGTAGTGATACTGCCTCGGAAACCCAAGGAGGGGTGCTATAAGTCGGGTCCGACTGAATGGCACATAACAACAACAATAGTAATTAAACAGTTTAGTCCTGGGGCAGAAAGAGCGAAAAATCAATGGAATCAAATAAATTACAGAAACAGATTCAAACAGTGTTCATGTGGTGTGTTTTTGAGTTACTTATGACTCATAATGACTCTATAGGGCAGAGTAGAACTGCCCAGGCTGTAATCTTTAAGGGGGCAGATTGCCAGGACTTTTCTTCCATAGGATGGCTGGTAGGTTCGACCTTTGGTTCACAGTTGAGTGCTTACCATGGTGCCACCAAGGCTCTATTTAATTGATGGGGAAAAGTCAATTGTGTATAAATTGTGCTGGGAAAATTGCTAACTATTAAAAAAAGAGTTGGATTCCTTTTGCATTCTTTATGTCAATATATATTCCAAATCAATGCATGATTTAAAAATTTCTGCATAGCCAAAATACTGTAAACAAAGTAAAACAATAACTGACAAAATGAAAAAGATCTGTATCATATGTGAGACAAATGAGCTAATTTCTGTTAGATGATGAGCTCTTAAATATCAGTATGTGAAAGATGAGGGGTCGCTATGAGTCGGGTCAGACTCGACGGCACATGACAACAACAACAACAACAAAAGATGAATAATCCAATACAAAAATGAGGAAAGGATAGTAACAGGCAATTCCATAGAAATGCCAATAAATTCATGAAATTCTCGACTAATAATGAAAGAAATGCAAATTGAAAAATAAAAAATGATTGTTCATTTTTAAGACCAGGGCAGAAATAAAAGAGTTTTCTCATTGTGAAGGAACATGTCCCTGAACATTGTTAGTAAGGATATAAAATGGTGAAACCACTTAAGGAAAGTAATTTGAAAATGTTATTAAAAGTAAAGCAGACATATCCTCTGAACTAGCAATTATAATTCCAGAAAACCCTAACTAAATTCACAGGACGACAAATATGTATGTATGAAAACACTTGCTGCAATAATAGCAGAAAACTGGAAACAAGTTTGATGTTCATCAGTAGAGACTGAATAAATAATGGAAGAGATATGCACAAATGGACCACATTGCAGTTATTTTAAAAAAAGATACAAATTAATATATGCTGATATTGAATGATTTTCTAGGTAGATTAAGTAAAAAAAAGAACTATGTAATCCCATTTGTGGGGACCAAAAGGATATACACTCGCCCCTTAGTATCCGTGGTTCCCTATCTGTGTATTCAAACCATCAGGGATTGAAAATGTAAGAGAAAATACAAAACTAATTGAGTGGTCAAAGCAATCCCTCAAAGGCTGAGGGAGCACAAAGTGCTATTTAACATAGCATTTACATCATATTAAATATTATATAGGAGCTCTGGTAGCGTAGTGCCTAAGTCACTTGACTGCTAACCAAAAGGTTGGCCGTTCAAACCCACCAGCCATTCCTCGGAAGGAAGATGGGGCAATCTACTTCCATAGTGATACTGCCTCAGAAACTCAAGGAGGGGTTGCTATGAGTCGGGTCCGACTGGACAGCACACAACAACAACAACAACAACAAATATTATATGTAATCTATAGATGGCTTAAAGTTTATGGGAGGAAATACGCAGATTATAGGCAAATACCACATCATGTATTTAAGGGACTTGAGCGCGTGAGGATTTTGGTATCCACGGGAGTCCTAGGAACCAATCTCTCGCAGATACCTAGGGACAACTGTGTATATATACCCGCATATGGGAAAATATCTGTAAGTATATACAAGCAATTATTAACAGTGACAACTTCTGCAAAGAAAGATTAAGAAGAAAATGAGTATTTTTAAAACTTATAATCATACTTCCTTTTGCATTCTTTGAATAGTTTACCATAGAATCCATTAATTTTATAATTAGTGTAAAATAAATAGTTTAAAACACGGGATCTGAACAACACACAACCAATGACGAGGATCCACTGTTGGTCTGGTGGGAATGACAGTATCTTTTCCTTGCAGTGCTCTGTTTCTGAATGTTCGGTAAGAAACTAAAACATCGCTTGGAGCTTTCAAAATTTGAACAAACATTTTAATTACCTAATAAAACAATAAAATTTGCTACAATTGAAAATTTGCATCAGGGATGTTTTCTTTCAAATTGCGCTCCAAGGGTTTCCTAAGGTTTTTCCTTAAAAGTTTGTAGTGAACATTCCTTGTTCTCCTATCCTTGGTCATATCTTCACACACCAAGGAAGACAGAGTTACAGTACTTAGTACACAAGCAGCAAATACTTAGACGGTAATCAAGTTCTGTTAGTTTCTTTTCAATGCTAGTTTAATTCCTTCTATTTGCCAAAGGCACTCGAGCTTGCCCCCTGGTAAATCTGACCTCACCCATTAGAAGAGAAAATAGTTCTTCTCCTGTTTCTTTAAACTCACTGTCGTGGAGTCCACTCCGACTCACTGCGACCCCTCCTTGGGTTTCCCAGGCGGTATCTCCACGGAAGTAGATTATTGCCCAACCTTCCTTCTAAGGACGTCTGGTGGGTTTGAACCACCAGCCTTGTGGTTAGCAGTCAAATGCCTTAGGCACTAGCAAAACCATGCCACCTATTTCTTCGAATGATTTTATCACTGACACTATAAATCAGTAGGAACATGTTTGAAAATTAGTCATCCTGTTACAGTATGCCACACAGATGGATTAAAAAACAAAAAGGTAAAACATTTACTACTTTAATGAAATTTAATTTTAGGCGTAAGACACTCTCTAACTTTGGGCTCACTAATCAACATAATGCCTAGGTTTTCCTTGTTATTTCTACAATAAATTAGCCATGAAAATAAGGGCACGAAAATAAGAGCAAAGATACATAATTAAAATGCTGACACTCAGCATTTGTAGTGGCCCGAAACTGAAATATGTGGAGAGACACTATGATTCACGTAAACTTTTTTTAAAATGTTTAAATCCCTTGACTTCCTCCTATCTGTAAAAGGGTTGGATTAGGGGACCAATTAACTGCCCAAGGCCCGACGGACGGGGAAAAATTTACTTACGGTGACAAACTTGGATCAAAGAGAAATGAAAGACACTTCAACATATAACAAAAAACGCGCTATCAAGCAACAGGTCCCTTGTTGCATCCAACACTGCGCTTTGTCTCTGTCAATAGCTCATTTTGACTTGAGGGGGGCAAGCCTACCTCAGCTACTGAGCATGCGGAAAATTCGGCGCAAGCGCAGAACAGCTATCGCTTTTCCTTCCTCTTCAGTCTTGGACCTGCCAGGCAAATGTGCTGTTGCGTGTTTTCTGTAATATCTCCGTGGGCTTACAGAGATTACTTTTTGTAAAAGTGAAAAGCGTCTCTGTTTTTAAAAATTCACTCTGGTTGTAGGAGTCTTCCAGCCCACTTAGTACAGCTTACTTTTAAAAAATGTTCATTGGATTAGTGATTTTACGAGGCGTCAGTAGCTGCTTAACCTTGAAAGATCACTCCATACCCTCACTGTAAACAAAACAGCATTATGCTGACTTGTGTTAATGGTGCGGGAGCTATGGTTCCTTTTTTTTTTTTAAGGCTTTCATTTGATTCTTGAAAGTATGTGACCTGGAAAAAGAGTTTCTGGGTGGTGCTAACTGTTACCATGTTAATTGCTAATAGGTTGGAGGGCCCTTGGTAGGATTGGTAATCTATTTACGAAAACAGTATGAAGCAAACATTTTGTTTGTTGAAATCGTCTTATGTAATATCAACCACAATGTGATTTAGTAATACATGTGTTTTGAACATTAAAAAAAAAAAAAAAAGCCTTATGAACGAAGTTTTCGACAGCAGTGAGTTTGGTTTTGGTTCACATGAGGTCATGAGTTGCAAGTGACTCTACGGCAACTTTTTTTTTTTTGGACCCAGAAAAGTTTAGGAAACTAACTGCTGCAGTGCTTTGCGTTTGCCAGTTGTTAGTCCTCCGAGAGCGCCACTCTTCTAGGCATGGTGTGTCATGTCAGTGGTTTTCGACTTTTTGAGGCACTGAAAAAAACCTACTTTAAATTTTTATAGAATTGCCAAAGGTTAAGGGAAAAAAAATAGTTTACTCATTTAGGAATTTAATATACATTTAAGGACCATCCTTTTTGTGCCTTACCGTGTTTGAACGTATGCGTAGAGGGCACATGAGAAAGGCATAAAGAAAAGGCAACACTTTTTTTTTTTTTTGTCGATAGTAAAATGCAAGGCACCATGATTAGAATATAAAACTAGAATATAAGCCCTGCCTGTAGAGGTAAGCCCGGCCCGGGAGAGACTGCAGCAAACACCCGAAACGCCTGAGCCTGAGCTCTAACGCCAAGGAATCCGAGCTCCCGCCCCCTTCCCGCCCCTTCCGTCCCCGGCGCGTGCTCACTCCCTCACTGCTCGCGGAGGCTACGTGGGGTCCCGTCTCCCGAGAGCCGGGGCGGGAGGTGAGGCCTCCGCGCCCGGAGGAGACCAAGGGGACTCTGCTATGCGTTGGGGGCTACGCCCTAGCGGGCCAGGGGCTGCGGCCGCGGCCCGGAATCTGTGGGGCCTGCCCCGCCTTCCCTGTCGCCTAGGGTGGCGAGGAACAACATGGAGGCTTCTGGTGCGGTCAGTCAGTGGGGCCAGTAATCAACTGCCGAACTTGAATAGCGGCAGATACCGGGACACGGTGTTGCTGCCCCAGACCAGCTTCCCCATGAAGCTGCTAGGCCGCCAGCAACCCGATATGGAGCTCGAGATCCAGCAGGTTCGAGCCCAATCTTGACGCGTCGGAGGGCGGTGGCAGGGAGCCGGGCCTTGAAGGGGAGGCGCCACGCGGCCAAGGGAGCAGAGGAGCAAAGACTTCACTATGGGAGCCAAGCCGGTGCAATCCAAACCCCGGGAGGGTGGACAGCGGGGTGGAATGGGCACAAGCTCCAAGCCTTTTAAGCCGGTGTTTTGACTAGACCTGTGAAACTAATGAGCATCCTACAGGTTCAGTTTGCTGAAAGCGTTAAGTGAAGAAATAGGCAGTGAGGTTCCGGAGCAGTATATTAAAAGGGGAAATTATCACTGCCTCAGATATCACCATGTACCGAATGTATGTCCCATGTCTAGTTTAGGAAGCATAGGACAAATTTAGACACTGGAAAAGTAGGTTGTAAAAATGCGACTAGAAGAAATGATGGAAAGTTGGACATCTACTATTGTTGTATCAGTAGGTTCCTAGTTGGAATTGCGCATGAAGGAGAGTAGCGTACTTCTGAGTCCAGTTCCGAAATTGTGCTTCTGTCTCTCATATTAGACTGAACTTGACAACGTCAGAGTTTCACTTGTTAGTTTATATAATTAAAAGTTTTTTAGAATAGCAGATATTTTGGAAATAGTTACATAAATATGTTTAGCTTAAACATTATTGTAACAGCCACCAGAGTTCAATGTTTTGGCCATCTGAATTTTTTTTAAGTTTTACCCAGTACCTTCTGTATGCCAGGAACTGTGATTATTTTAAACGCTTTCTTTTTTAATTTTTATACTAGTCCTGTGAGGGTTTTTTTTTTTTTTTTTTTTTCCCCTTCAGGTAAGGAAACAGGCCAATAAGGCAAAATAACTTGGCAGACATCATACGGTGGTGGGTGAGGGCAGGGGATTGGGATGACATTGAGTATTGTTCCATATTTAGGGAGTAGTTGAGGCCAAAGGTTGGCAAGGATAAGATATGTATGAGAGATCTGTAAGTCCTTCAGCATGGCAGGACAGAATGGAGGATAAGGGAGTATTTGAGCCTGCTCAAGGTTCAAACTCACCAGCCACTCTCGGAAGGAAGGTTGGGCAATCTACTTCTGTAGTGATACTGCCTGGGCAACCACAGAAGGGCCGCTATGAGTCGGGGCTGACTCCATGGCACATAACAACAAGAAGAATGTAGTGGTATAACCTGCAGTGTCCAGATGATACAATCTTTTTTTTTTTTTTGAATTTTT